GGGCAAATATTTGCCCCTGTGTATGCGAGAGGAAAAAGAAAGAGCGAACGAGAGCGGCGGCGGTGCCTCGTCGACTCTCTCTCTACTTTTTAGTCGAAATTAAAAGCACATACAACCAACTGACAGAGGCTTTTGCAGCAGGGGTTAAATATAATTCGATGATGTTGGGCGATCAACAAAATTGCTTTGACACAAGTTGAATAAAAAACGCGGGGCCGAGGGGCAGTTTCCCGTTCGCTACTCTCGCCGGGCAACACGCGGTTGTTGACATTCGGAATTTATTTTTCATGCCGGCGCACACGTCTTAATCGCTTGAGTCAATTTACATTCGCCATTAATCGTTGCCATACCTCACCGAAAATAAATACACTCGGGGACCTTGTCAAGTCTCGAGCTTTCCACTGATCTTTGTGGACCGAAATCTACCAAACTAAAATATTTGTAGATTTGTTCAAACGCGGTAAAACACACGTTAGGAACAAAGATCGTTAATTGAGCATATATTATATCACTGACAATGAGAGTATTTTTGGATATTTAAACATGTTTTGGTACAAAGTAAAAAATCAATAAAAATATTTGGTAATTTTGCCAAACATCAAAACAACTTTGTTGTTTCACTTGATTTCTTTTATGAATGAGATTTTTAAACAAAAATGTAGAAAATTGTGTATCGGTTAAATGAATTTTTTACTACCCACATGATTAATTTATCATGAGTGCCTGCTAATGAAGAAAGTGAAATTGTGCAATTTTTTTTTTATTGACGCAGGTGCTGCATGGTTGTTGTATTATATGCGGTGAATAGACAGATGCTCCAAATTAGCTCAAATTTCAGCCTCATCACACGAAAGTGCAGGGTGTGTGCTCTGCCTGTCCATTGCGCATTGAAATGAACAATATAAAAAGCATAGCACGCGGCGGGCGCGTGAAATGACTCGACGCATTTTCTTTAACAATCGATTGCATTGCAACTCGTGCAGCCCTTGATTTTAACATTTGACTGCTACAAAACACTACTAAAATCAAGCATGCAAGATTAAAAATGAGCTTTTTCTGTTCGATTTTAATTCACTCATAAAAGTATTAATGTACTGCAGAGCGTTGAAAACCGCGTTGAATTGATACTAATTAAATACTTACTTCTGATAATTACTTCTGAAAATAAATCATGTCGGTGATGAAACACAAAGATCACTTTTAAGTCATTATTGGTTATTGCTACTGATTGTCATTACTTACAGTAAATTTATTTTTTAGTAATCTCTATACGTCACCCATTGAAAATATTTGCTATACTTGATTGTCAATAATTAATTTTAATCGTTAAAAAGAATATTAAATTTAAAATCACTTTGACTGTAAGATATATGGAAAATAAATAATCCTACTTCAATTCGCAGAACTATGAGGATAAAACATGTAATATTCATTCGTATCATGATTCTGTTAGTCATGAAGGAAAAGATTGACGCATGAAATTAAATTGCCTCACTTTAAAACGTCGAAAAAGCGCGCCCAGCCTAAAGGCTATATTATATAAATACTCTTCCAAAGAAAATATTTTGTCTTGATGAGCGTGCATTATGTCTTATGTCACCGTCATCATCTCGAGCGAAGGCTGTGCCGCGGCTCGTCGAGGGCATAAACACTTGACCATGGCCGCGTCCGAGCAGGATTCTCCGTGGGAGGTCCGCGGATCGCTGCCCAGTAGCTGTGCCCATGAGTATAGGGTGTCAACAAACACACTATGGTAGTAACTTTAACCTCGCCCACACCTCGGCCAACCCATTAAGAAAACGGCATTCCATTAATAATGCGAAGGGAAAAAACACGCCTCGATGGGTCGCTAACAAGTGGTAGCCCCCACACTAAAATAACAATTCGTGGTGGTCCATAATGAGAGAAGCAGCGAGTGGCTTGGGCACTTTTATTGTGTGTAACTGGCTGCCATTGTGTGTGTGTGTGTGCGAGCAGCTTGTTGATTTTATAAAGTAGCGACAACACATTAAAAATATGTTTAAATAATTGTGCCCCGACCATTGTGCGCCGGCCTTTTGATTTTTTTTTCGTTTGCCTGCGCATATGTGAGAGAACCCTGCCAGCAGCTTTTGAAAGCAAGGAGGTGCTAATTTGTCGGATATAAAAAGTGGAGGGAAATGATACATTATATAGCCGCGCACCAGCATTACACTTATTCTTTTTCATTCTGCTGGAAGAGGTGTCAAAAAGATTCTTGTTTGCTCTTATTTTATTACTTTTTGGAAATGAAGGCGTCTCTCATTGTGCTGGGCTCTCAGGAATTAACAAAAGAACAGAGGTCTAAATTTTCAATTTTTTTTGTTATGATTTTTTTATGAAAATAAGTAGAAATAAAAAAGGCAGTGCAATAAATAAATAAATAATTGGAACACAATTCTAGCTAGAAAAAAAACAAACAAAAACAATCTTGAGCAAAGTTGAAGTTATGCAGCATGTTGACACGTGTGCTGAAACAGTTGCCTACCCTCATATTTTCAGGCTCGAGAGTAAAGAATCTCCCTCAAGCGGAAATACAGTATTAATTTTACATTATTATCAATTAAATATTTCACGCCTCCTTACCGGAATGTTGGGGTACAAGTCGAGTTTTCTTTCAAAGTCCCAATGAAGATTATTAAATTTATTTATTCATTGTATGCATGGCGCACGAAAAATAAAATTATCAAACTTGAGCCGGAAAATTTTTCTAGTATTCAATCAGGATTCACAAGGTGCAAAGAATCGTTATTTTTATATAATGCTGAATACACAAACATAAATTTTTATACAAAATTCATTGGCAAAGCTACAAGATTAAAAAGCTGGAAAAAATCTTTTGGATTTAAATTTAATGTTAACAAAATTTATTACCGATATTTTCGAAAAAGTCACTGGTTTTTATTATTTTTCAGACAGTATGAGAATTTGAGTAATTTTACAAGCACAGGATCTGTGCTTTGCATCCTTTAAACAAGAATCCAAGTACCAAAGTCAAAGGTTCATCTCCGGGGGCATTAGCCATTCTGTTAGTCGCGTTCAAAACACACATAATACGGAAAGGCGGCGAGGCAATACAAACCATGAAACATCCACGCGATCATCTCATTTCGTGTCCAACAGCAGAAAGTGATTCTTTACATAAATAATTTATTGTTTCCCGCAACAATTTTATTTTAGAATGGATTAAATTATACTCAAATGCGTCGACTCATTTTTCCAGTTTGCAGCAACTGCTTTCATTGAAAATTTTAGTCTCTCTTGCGAAATCTTTGCTCATTAAAATTTCAGCCGGTCTCTCATCCCCTGTCTCTCTTTCTCTGCCAGCACCGAGATAAGGCAGCACCACGTACACACGCATTTAAGCGCTCTGCTAAATAATTAAAACGACTAGCGTCATAAAGCGAGTCTTGCGCTGTTATTCCATTAATTTCTTTCAGTGTGTGTCGCCGTGCCTTGATGATGTTTGCTTGCTCTGCGGTTCCCACAAGACCTTCCAACCGCATTCACATACGTGTGTGTATATAAGTCGTCGTTGTCATCCAGCGCACATGCTGTGTTTGCCCAAGTAATGGACGCGGCGAGAAGGTCGCCCTTGTTCTTTCATTTCGCCGCCAAACCGTTGGACGTAGCCGCAGCCGCCGACCAGAGATCTCCGCAGGATGGCTTTCGAAGAAAGCACACACATGCTCACTCGCTGAGACGAAGAGAAGTGGGACGTGCAATTCAGCGACCAGCAGACAAATCAGCAAAAAATGGGACGGTGCTAAAAACAAATAATGATTGAAAACGAAAGAAATTTACCTGGAAAATCATATAAAAAGAGTTGTCCATGGACTGAAAAGTTAGCCCTATAGGTATTTAAAAATTTTACATAAAGTTGAAATCCTTGACTGGGAAAAAAATAAAGAATCAATTGACAATATTTAAAAAAAAGGCTTAAATAATGAAATAATAATAATATTGGCAAGTAAAATCAAAGGAATAATTAGCATAATATTACGCATTTTTTATATAATTAGAGCTTGCAATGAATTTACTTGTTTTCCTTTTCTTCTCATTGGGTGTATCATAATAAGCCTTTTGGAGCATTATAATTATGTACGCTAGAATAAAGATTCAGATAAGCTATGTAAAGGAAACAAAAGAAAAATATCTAATTGAAATTTGAAAAGCTGGGATTAATAGGATTTGGTTTGAAAATTTACAAAAAATTTAAGATTGTTAGGAATTATTAAATGAAAATAGAATAATTATTATTTTCTATATTGACATTCCAGTATTAAAATTAAAAGTCTAAAAATTCATAAAAGCGTTAATTGTCTCCGTCTTATCTTCTCTGAAATTATTTTTGATTGATTTTTTTTTTGTCTGAATTCTGATATTTTAAATTTGATTTTGTTTTTCAACACTAACCATTCTCTCCTCTTCTTTGGAGGTGTTGCTTTTGTGTCAAACACCTCTTTTCTCTCTCGTCGCGGGGCATGAAAAATTCAGAGATTCAAATGTGTCAACCGCGAGGAAAAATGAAAAGCAAGCAAAGCGCGCGCAAGTGAAAAATAAAAAGGACTGTTAAAATAAACCATCACAGGCACTTCTTGTTCCTTTCTTTCTGCGCCTTCTGTCAATATCCATTCTCGGTATAAGCGCCATAATATCTCGTCAGTGTCAATATTAAAAGGTGGAGAGTAAAAAATGAAGACTTGGTTGGTTGACAAGCTATGGGGAGACTTACTTTCAGCGGGTTGAAACGGCGACGACAACGATGATGATGATGATGATAAGGAGAAAAGGAAAAACGGGAAGAAAATTTACACAGAACTTATAGAGAGCGCCACAAGAGACTTTGCGTTGGTATGCTTTTTCATTTCCACAAATGTTTGCACAAGAAACAAAGAATTCGTGGTGTATAACTTCATCACTCCACGCCAGCCAGCACTGATATGCTCAAAGAACAGGGCAATTTAAGAGAAAAGGAATAATCCAAGTACGAATTATACACATTTTATTATTTGACAAATTCAGCAGCTCAATATTCGATGATGACGATAATGAATGACACAATTTTTTCACAAAAGAGCATAATACTGGAAACAGCTGTAATTAAGTAGAAAGTGTAAATAGAACAATAAAAGCAGAATATATAAATATTAGTTCAAAAAGTTACATAAACAAAACGCGTTTGAAATTTGTTGCATAAAACAACTTTAAGCTGATTGGTGCCGTACATTCTTTTCTTCGTCTAAAAATACTACTTTCAGTCAGTTTATTGCATTCAATGTTAATTCAAATAGTGATGTTGACTTTTTAGATGTTCAACATTTTAATGTATCACTTGATGATTCAAAGTTTACACTTTTGATTGCTTCTGGGCAAATTTTTAGAAATTTTCCAATTCTTCTTAAAACTTGGACACAATTTTCTGATAAAATAATTTTATGGTTATAGGTTCAACTACAAGTAAATAACAGTGGTATCATTAATTGTATATCAGATTCTGGTTCATTGGTATGGTTTGCCTGTATCGCGTTTAATAAACGTCGCTGTCAATTAGCCGCACAGCTAGAGAAATAGTCACTAGCTTGCAAGGGAATCTATCTTTCTCCGTGGAAAATAATATTATATTTTGTAACCATTATTTGTTTAACTTAAAAAAATTCAAAAGAGGCAAGTTCACAAGTTGGTCACAGGGCCGTGGATAGTGACCTGGAAACAAAAAAATATGTGTGTGCTGAAGTAGAAGGCCAATCATAAAAAACTGTTTGTTAATCAAGAGTGTGAGTGTGTGCGTTAGTCCAAGTTAGTTGTTCTCGTGCGGCTCTCAAAAGTCTGTAGTGCAGTGTTAGATTCAAAACTAAAAGCAAACAATCTTTCAAGATATAAGCAGACGCGACTTTACTGAATTTCAGTGCGACCATTTGCAAATTTTGAGGCAAGTTGTGGCAGAAAAGTGCGAAATTCGTCCCGAACTTTCTTCTCCCAGGACGAGAATGTTTTGAATAAAGAGGAGGTTCTCTGACCTGTGACATGGCGCCGGTAAGGACGGGTTCCAAAGAGGACGTTGGCGAGGATGAAGCGGTGGAGCCCTGCATGGACAAGCCGTCACCTACCCCATTTACCACAGTGATTTTCTTCCGGAGAATCCCAACAAGCCTTTCCAATCTGCAAAAGCGGCCGTGAGCCGATACCGATAATTTTAAATTCAAATTTTTAATATGAAATAATAAAATTATCTTTAGCGTTTATTTAGAATCTCTTTTTGCAAAAAGTTAAAATTGTTTTAATTAAAATGTTTGCTATTCTATGTAAATAATGTTTGTCAAGTTCTTCGAATCACACTTAATTTTTATAAGGAAATCCTGTGAATTTTGTTCCAACTTTACACTTCGTAGGCCTCATAAATCAGCATTTTTCCAACTGCTCAGCAATTCGAGAACTAATATCTAGAGCAAACACTAGGAATTAATCAGCAGTGCCGCGATAAAATGCATTTCCAACTGGTCGGAGTGCAAAAAAATTTAAATAAAATAAAGGACGTCCCTCTCAATTGAACATTTCTAAAATTTACAAAATGAATTTTTTACTCCGCATGGCTCAGACCACGAATCTGTGCTGCGGAAAATTTTGTTCTTTTTGAGCGCGATTTTTTTTCAGCCGAGCGGCGGGTCTCGGGAGGGCTGATACGCGCCACCATGAAAGGCACAGCTGTGCTGCTCTGGGCTTCTCTTAATATCTAAATGACTACTTTATTACACACAGCGTATTAGCCCTGAGGCCCGGCAGAGCAAAGGAGGATGCTGAGCACACAAACCAGGCTGGCAGCGCCAAGCGCGCTCGCTGCTGGGCGCAGGGAAAAGTCTTTTCCAACTTCCGACTTTGTACTTTATTACACGAGAGAGGGAAAAATAATTGGAAAGTAGCGGAGCATCCGGAGAGAGAAAACGACAGAGAGCGAGTTCGCAACTCGCTGGCAGAAGCTTTGATTGCCTTGCGATGGAATGTATGGGCTTAATTTGTGTATGTTTACTAAATATAAACTTCTTCCTGCTAATAAGCAATTTCCAAGCAGGGGTGGATTAATTTGCTGGATATTTTGCACTCACTTTTGAACATGCGCCTCCGTCTCCACCCTGGAATCGCGCGCCTGCTTCAATTCATCGTTGAGCTGCTGCTTTTCCTTCTGCAACTGAGAAACTTGCTCCGCCAAAACCCCAGCAACTGAAATTATATCCGAATTCGCGAGTCAATTTACAATCCCAAAATGGAAACGCAAATGTTTGTACCGTTTGAGTTCCCTGCTGGGCTCGAGCAAGACGCGGTTTCTGCATTTCCAGATAGCAGGTCTCCTGATAAGCTGCTTTCATCTTCGTCAATGCTACTTTCAGCCCTGCTCCTGCAAAATCAATAACACGCACCATATTTAGAAACATATTATTCAATATTATTCAACTTATGACATAGACGTTTATGGTCATAGCAGGTGAAAAATATATTAACTCACTTTTAAGAATAACTTTTATCCAGATCCAGATAGAAAAGATTTTTTTTTTTAAATGCATAAAAATAAATTTTGGACTTTGTATAATTTGGTACAATTAATGCAGCAGGATGAGACAGACGTGAGCGTCAACCATCTTGGCAGGGTTTGGTTATCGCAGGTCACACCTTAAAGGAAGCGCCGCACATAGCAATACATTAGGAGATAAAATATCTCAAAAAGTGTCTCGCTTTTCACATCCTGCTGCTGTAAAAGCGGCAAAACATCTTTGATATGCGTTGGGGAAAACTGTTTTTATCAGCGTGACAAGATAAAAATGCACCCATGTTTATTGGGACTGGGAGAAGGGAGCACCAGGATAAGGCCTCCAGCTTTAAAAAGTCTCGTTGAAAATTTCATGCGTTTTTAGATATCACATATAAAAGTAGAGATGTATTAAATTGAACTCACCCGTGTACACTTCCACGCGAGGTTCGTAAGTTTCTCCTGCGAGGTGCAGCCTGAGGTCTCATCGAAGGGGGTGCCTCCCGCCGAGGCCTCTCGTTACTTCGATGGCTTTGCTATAACAGATTAAAAGAGGAATTGGATTTGAATAGCGATTTTAAAAATTTTGCATGTATAAAAAATCATTGATAAGCAAAAATTTTGAAAACATTTTGGAAAATTCAGCATAATAATTAATTGTGCGGCGAACTGAATAGATTTCTTATTTTAATATGCGTTGGAAATAAATTTTAAACGTTTTTAAACGTTGTGTAAAATTAAAAAAATGATGCATCTCATACGCATTTAATTAACTTGACTCATCCTTTTAGTTGGAAAAATATAAATGATCATTTAAAAAAAAAATAAGAAATACAAGTTTCAAAACTCACTACAACAAGAATAAAGACGAAAAAATGAGCAGGTTTGGAAAAAACTTGGTGTTTTGCAAGTTGCTTAGAAAATAAACCAGGCCATGCAATGAACAGAATGAACTGTTAGCTCAGACCAAGGTTCGCGCATTAGAAAATTTCGATTGTTGCCGAGCGCTCTCATTGGGTGCAACTTTACTTGCACCCAATCAGAGAGCTCAATTAACAATCGAAAAATTTTTCAATTGTTCTGATGCGCGAACATTGGTTTATAAATCCAATGACTTAAAAATAAAACTTTTAAAAAACAAACCTCTAACATAAATTAAATTATGCAACTTGTTAAACACAAAAATTGTGATATATTTTGTTTGATATGCGTCAATTTTTATTTAATTTTTATTTTTGAGCAAATAAATTTTTCGGGATTTTTAACAGTTTGCAAGCGATGCAACTCGTACAAAAAAATAATTTGACTATAATATGTATATATGATAAAAAATTTTTAGTTAAAAAATAAATAAAAATAAAAAAAAAGCCAAGACATTCAAGAGAATAATTAATAGATTTAAAGAACTAGTGGGTGTTTGGCTGGCTACGTAGTTCAGGAAAATGACCATCAAGCCGACGAAACTGTTGGTTCAAAGGAAGCAAGTTTTACCGAGAAGTGAGAGCAGAGCTTTGTACCCTTGTGTTCGGCTCGGCTTATTGAGTTTAGCAGTTCGCATCCTCGGCGCGCGTTGCATATATTTCTATTTATCCGTGCATTATGTACGATAAAGCTCGCCCAGGGTATTTTCCATGTAACTTTCCACCACAATGCACTCCCACATGACTGGCCAGTTTATACATGAGCACCACGGGCTCCAGAGTAATAACCAGTTCAAATATTTGTTCACAACAAACCTGCCGCCGCCGCCACCACCCATCCCCATGCAATGGATGGTATTAGCGCTGAAATTATCTGCCGCATCACTACATACACGCTCGAGAGGTTTATTATTCAGGCACGCGGCAATAAAAATCGCCCGACTATACGTCCGCCATATTGTTATTGCTCTGCCATTAGCATAATAGGCGCCGCGCAAACACGGATATTTTTTAATCAATCTCGCAAAATGGCAAGTGTGTACAGAGCGCAGAGCAAACGCTACTCCCGCGATAAATTATTCCACAGCGGTATGCAAAAGCTCATTAAATTTTTTTTCCAAATCGAAATGTTTATTCGATTTCTAATTTTTCCTTCTGTGTATATTAGTGACGAGCTTTTTGATTGAAATTTGCGGTGTGTGCCTGTTTGCAAAAGATAACCTGCTTTTAATTCACGTCACTGAAGCACTTTTGATGCTATAGATTTAATTGGATTAATCGGTTTGTTTATCAAAGAGCGAACTTTGATTTGCTACTTTTTGAGCAAATAATTTTGTTTATAATATAACGTTAAATTCTATTTCCATTCCACTGATGTGAGTATTGATTTAATCATGAATAATTAATTAAAATGATGAGTTTCAATTAGGCGGTTTTACTAATTAATTTAATTACAATGTATCGGTATATTAGCATTAAAATAATTTTGAATCGCTGGTAATTCTGGTGAATTTATATAGCGTCGTATTAATGACATGTTTTGACATGTCTGCGTCAAAAAGCTCACGTTCGCTTTCGTTGCCGCCAAAAAGCGGACAAAAATGGGCAGGTGAGTCCAAGAATCACGTTTCGCCCAGCGCGCCTCCCTTTGTTTAAATAAGAGTGTTTTCAATTTGTTTGATTTTCCTAAGGTCGGATGTCCTCACTTTAGGTCTCGTATTGAGCGGTATTGAGGTTTCCGCTGCCTGGGTGTTCTTTTTGGCGGGATGAGAATATATAAAGTTGACACTACCCCTGAACGCAAACATTGAACGTGCCGCGGAGTCGACCAAAATATTTTTACCTGACGACCAGTTGCCTCAACAAATAATGGAAAAAGGAGAACGCACAAAAACAGAATTAACTATTAAAAATGAAAATGGAAATAAATATTTAAAAAGGGCAATACATAAAAAAAAGCAAAATGGCATTCAGAAGTTAATTTGAAAAATTGTAAGCAACCACATTCTAATTGATATAAACTTAATAGCATTTTTGCAATTAAAAAAGGATAAAATAACCAAAATAAACTGGAAATTAACTGTCTTGAAATAAATCAATCGATGATTTCAGAAGTTCCAGCCTTTTTTGATATCCCTCTAAACTTATAAAAGTAGCCGCAAACGTGAAGTTTTGTCAACAGAATTGTTTAAGTTATTGATGTTTAAGTAAAAGAAATCATAAATTTTTTAAAACATCATTAAGTCGCCTAAACACCTAGCCTAGTTATTTCTCAGAAAAAAACGTGGAAACGTACTTTGCAATTTTCACATGGAAAAAGAAAAGTGTCCCTTTGGTGGGAAACTCTATCATGGCGTGAGGCAACACTAAAAGGGTGAAAATTTTCCTCCTGCAGGCAAGGTTGAGTTAATAAGGCTGATTCAGCTAATGGAGTCGCTTCTTATTGTACGTGTCACTTGATAGCGCGTGAAACTTGAGAAGTTCTATTATTTTAGTGGCGGGCACACACACAACAGCTGCCATTGTCCTCGTCATGCAGCGCGGTGCTGTTGTTGATGCGAGACCAAGGAAAAGAGGGAAATCCATCCACTTACATGGGCTAATATTTACCGTGCCTTTAACCAATGGCAAACCCAGACCTCTGTAACTTGACTCTCTGGCTCACTAAGAAAAATCTCATCTTGCTCCGAACAACAATGGCCGCCGCCGACAGGGCCTCATCATCAATCTGTGGCGTTCGGAGAGAAAACGGCCACGGCTGGCGCTATATATGGGCAAACACCGATTGTCTCGATGGGTGACTCGACCCTTTTGAGGGACCCAAATAAGCAATCGTGTCACCTCATTTGCGTTTTGGTCTTGGTCGCTTTTTAGTGTTTACTTTTATCAGTGGTAGAAAATGGTTTTAGCCAAATATTCCTCTTTTATTCTCGAATAGGACAACTTTTATCAAATGCATTTTTTCATTTTGGTCCAATAATTACTTCTTTTTAAATATAATGTAAACAATGTGATGCAGCAATATGGAAAAATAAACAACAATAATAATAACTTTAGGAAGCTGTTATATTTCTATTTTTTTTTTTTTTTTTTTTTTTTTGGTAATGAGATTGATAAAATCGAAGTTTGCGCAACACAAAAATCAGAGCAAATCTTGATTTTTGCCAAGCTTTCCAATTAGGTACAATTTCGCTTTTACCCAATCAAAATATTAAATAGAGCATCAAAACTGCCAATATTTACTGGATAAATGAAGAAAATATAATCCACAATTTTGAGCTGTAACAATCTCGAAGTTAAAAGATTTCATTCCTTCCGCTTTATTACAAATGGATTAAAAATAATTTTTCTTGTTGCTAATTTTGATGTAAAATAAAATATCTCAATCAAAAACAGACAGAAAAAATAAAATTTTTAGAAGTTCTTTAAGTGAACCAAGAGATGCAATAAGAGTCTCCGCAAATAATAAAATATTCTGTAGAAAAAATAAAAAAAAAAAATTACGGGGAAGCCCTTTGAGACAAATAGATAATAATTATTAACTGTTCGTAATTAAATAATCGTGAATCTGCTCAATTGGCCGGCTGTTTTGAAAGGGAAAGAGCAAGGAAGGTGCAAATATGTGCAAGTGCTCCAAACAGAATTAGAAATCCCCACATTCTAGTTTGATCGAGGTGGAGAGAGCACACATACACCAACTACTGGCACATATTTATTCTACGCAAACCCAAAGCAAGCAAGCAGTCGTTTCTAAACACTTGGCTGCTGCTACTGCTGCTGGGCGCTGACATTTGAAAAGAGCCAGCGCAAATATTTTTGTTTGATTGAAACAGCACTCAAATCGCAGCATACAAACGAGTAAAAGGCCATCATCACGGAGCAAGATGATGATGATGATGGTAGTCAATAGTCAAGATGATCTTGTTCTCATCCGCTACTTTATATAGACACAGTGTATTTGTACTTACACTTACACAATGTCTATATAACCACACTGCCAGACTCGAGCTATTTACCGTTCACTTTGCACCCCAATTCAAATGCCTTAGATACTCAGAGTTCCCTAATTGATTTATTAAACCTTTATCAGATAATCACCCAAAATGCAAACACATTTATGTGTGCAATTGTACTGTAATTTAATTTTACTCAATCCGACGGAAAACAATTATTAGATTCAAATAAACACTGAGATTGTTAATGGTAATTTTATGCTATTTAGATTTCTCATAACACCATTTCTTTACAAAATTTATTTGAGCGGAATTAGTGGCGTTTATTATACAAATGCATGAAAGCTGGTTTGCTTTCAATCCCACTAGAGGAGCGAGTGTATGCAACCTGCCGAGCAAATAAATTCTCAACACAAGAATCGTGTGCCATCTGTCGGAGCCTTGCTCTAATTACACCACTTCGGAATTTTGCATTGATTTATTTTTTTAATTAAATTACGTTTTCCCTACCAAACATGTATGTATACTTGCTTTTGCTTTGACCTGAATAAAAGTTTGGCCATTTATTTGAATAAGTGCATTAGGGTATTAAAGGCAAAATAATATCAGGATTTAAATAATAAAAATTAAATTATTCAAAACTACACTGGAAATTGAAATAAAATTTGAATTTAGATAATTGTAAAAATTGACTCACTGTTTCGAGGTAGTGGCGCACATCAGAGAAATCTTGGAAACCATTGCTAGCCATTCTGAGACGGGACATCATTGCTTCATCTCTCAATCGACTAGCATCCCTTACCTCACGGATCATGTCTGCAAAAATTAAAATAATTTTAATTTTTTTTTCATATAAAATCTAAATCAGGATTCAAATAACCTGCAAACATTCCAGGATGATAGTCCGGTCCCAGATTTCTCCACGATGAATTTTGCCGAGCTTTGACCGTCTCCAGTTGAATTTTCGTTTCGTTCAGCTCGCGTTGCAAATTTTGATTAGCTGCTCTCAGTGCTCCCATTTCCATCAAAAGTCGCTGCACAAGACCCCCCTGCATTGCTAAAGCAGCAGCCGACTCTCCCTCTTCGTCATCTTCTCCGCAATCAGTATTCGACGACTCCTCGTTTTCTTTATCCTCCTGTGATATGTTGAGACCAGGATCGCTGAACCTGCGATTGTCTGGTTTTGGTGAGCTGCGAGGAGATTTCAGTTCAGAAGACACCTGCGGTGGCAAACTGGCAAAGTCGTCTTCGTCGGGAATCCACAAGTAACCTGATGAATTAAAACATAATTTTTATAAATGCAATATTTGTTTGTCTATAATGCACATATACTTAAATTAATAAATAATAAAACTGAATTAATTTTTACCATTGCTAAATCTTGTAGGAGGCGTTGGTGCTCCTTTAGGAGAATCTCGAAATGCTCTGTTCTCTGGAGACCAAACATCCCACGCTGGTGACAACATAGCAGGTCTGACTGTCCTCGGAGATGACCAGGGACCATAAACTGGCAAAGAGGACGGTTCGGCTGAGTGAGTTGCATAAGGACTGCCCGGCATGTTGTGGTACATGGGCTGAGCAAAATTTGAAGAGTAGGGAAAGGAGGGTTTTTGTAAAAGGTCCGAATACGGAGGCGGAGCAGGATTCGAGAAGGCGTGAGGGCCCAAAACACCAAAGAAAGGGTCGTAAAAGCTGTAACCCTTGTTGAACAGGGTCGTGGGGTAGGTGCTGTTGAGGAAGTTGCCGGCGTAGCCGTGAGTGGTCCTAGTTGCCTTCTTGCTTGATTTTGCTGAACCACTTTTGCTGCCGCCGCCGTTGTATTCTTTTTCCTTTTCACGGCGGCCGCTAGACCTGGAACTGATAAAAATTTTAATTTGAGAAAATTTGCACGTTGATGCTGGTGAGATTTACTTGGGGCGCTCCATTATGAAAAAATAAGTCCCGTAACCATGGGCAACCGCAGCTGTTCTCCGACAGATGTTTTTCCGAAAGGCACTCTCCGGTCTGGTGGGCGGATGCAAGTTGGTCTCACATCATGGGCCTCCTTGGACAACGCTGGACTGCAATCAGATAAGCAAGTTAGTGCGAAATCGGGGTCTAATTTCAGGAATTAGTGCCGCATTGTGGGCACGCAGACGAAAAGCGATCATATTACAAACCACGAGAATTCCATGCAAATAATATGATGTGTTAAAATAAAAACATGATTTCTGATCGCAACTTACACGCACTTTATTTAATCACACTTACCGAATTAAAATTGTCAGCAGGTGTGATTTCGTGTAGGTCACGGTCGTTGTTGTTTTATCGGAATTCTTCTGAGGCCATTCTCGTGTTTTGAAATTGAGTTTTGCGACCGCAATTTGATTTGAAGACGGAGCGAGCAACGAACCAACCACTGTCGATTTGGTTGACCGAGTTGGAAAGTTTACCGGGAGAGGGCAGCAAGCATACAATTCAATCCGAAACGAAAAAGTGGAGGCAACGCCACGTGCGCAAATATGTATTCCGTATGCTATTTTGTATTAATTAAAATTAAACTTTTCCTCAAATTTATGCTGAAGCATACAAAATTTGGCCGTGGCGATAGCCAGACAAATAATAACAGAGTTACTTATTTCATTATAAAAAAGCAATAAAAAAAATTTAGTACCCAGTCAGCAATATAATTATATTATTATAAGCTACAAAAACCTTAATTTTTCTTTGGTGGCAGCCAAATTAATAAAAAAAATTAACAATTTCACTCAAATTATTTATCCGTGCCCTTTTTTTATAAATAATATCTTATGTATGAGTATATAGAGGGATGTTAGGATTCATGTTCATGAATAACTGTGAATAACATTGACTTGAAAAAATAGGCGATACAATAACTTTAAAAATTACATACAAAATAGCTCAAAATAGATAAGTAATTTTACTCAGAAATTAATTCAGAATAATATAATGATATGTTCTTGGTCTCTTGATTTTAAGAATTTCCAATGTTTATCCTTTTTGGAACTGGTAGCTTGCTGGAAATTATTCGCCTTGTTGCATTTTTCAAGCTGAAATTCTCAAAAGATCGCCGCTCAAAATCTTCTGATCGAGGAGGCTGGATGAGTAGCTGGTCACCATAGAGCGCAAGTGCACGTTCTGAGAGGCCTATTTTTAAAAAAATTTTTACTCAATATAAATATTAAAATAATTTAAAACCTGGAAGATGTAGCGATTTGTTGATTGTCAACTTTTTCAACACAGTCTGCTTCTCAGTGTCCTCGTCAACTGTGTTTTCTAGTTCGTCCATCCAGCTTTTGGTTATCTGTTCTATAGGGCTGCACAGAGGGCGACTCTTGGACTCGACAAAGTTAAAAGGCTGTTTGTTGACTTGGGTCATCTGGTTTTTTGTGACTTTTTGTTTTAAACGGGTCGATTGGAAGACGTCCTGCAAAGGAAAAGAAATACCAAAATAATTATCCAGAAGATTTGTGACCCTGCATATTAAAAAAAAATGTGAATTAATGAAAACCTTTTATTTATATCTTCTCATAATGCTGACCTGCTCTTTTTTCATTAAATCAGCACTCACAGCAGTTTTCTCCAGGGCTCCTCGTCGATTTTTCAAGTTGAGGTCCACATCGCCCCCATTTTCATTTCCCCTGCTTTTCTTCAGATGCCTCACTTCCTTAGTAAGTTCACTTTTCTCTTTCTTCAGTTTTTCAATTTCTTGCTTTACATTATCATTCATGTCTTTCTCTAAACTTTCCAATCGAGTAAAAATCCGTCCCATCTCTTTCATAGTGTTTGCATTGCCGTTGCTCTTCTGCTCCAAGTACTTATTCAGTTTGCAAAGAAAACCTTTCACGTCCAGCTCCAACTTTGACAGCCTGGCAGTCACTTTGACCATGTCTTCCTTAAAGCTCTTGGTTTCTTCCGAAGGTCCATCCACTTGAAATAAATTCAGTTTCATAATGACATCAACTGCTTTTTCAATCTCCTGTCTGTTCTCTTGCACTGCACCCTCGAGGACCTTCAGATTCACTTTCTGTTCTTCTTGCAATTTGTCTCTTTGCTCCCTCAAGATTGAAAATTCCGCATCCCTTTGGTCTTTGGCTTGGCCAACTCTTGCTACTTCTTGGGCAAGTCGGAAAATTTCCTTATCGTGCCAGCACCTCTGAGCCATCATCTCATCGCGCAGTCTTCCCAACTCAATGTCTTGTCGGCCCAAGAATTGATCCAAATTTTCAGCAAAATGTTTGCTGTAGTGGACATGCTCCCTCAGCTTGTGGGAACAAGACATAACAAGTGTCATCAGTTCTTTGAGTTTGCTGGCATTCATCGTGGTGGCATTTTCTAATAACTCATACTGTTCTCCAGAGTGAATTTCAGTATTGCTCAGGGAGTTGGCGAGTGAGTCAAGATTTTTGTGTAATTCCAGAAGCTGCGCTTTCATTCCATCCATGCCAGCTTTTAACTGCTCCGATTGCGATGACATTTTGTTCTCCAGGGTGTTCAGCCGAGACGAGCATTTGTTCATTCGAATCTCTAACTGCTCCTGGATGGCGTTGAGCAGCTGCAGGTTGGCCTCTTGATTCAACTTGATTTCACTCTCGTGCCGCTGCACGATGTCCTTCAAGTCGACCATGCACAATTCATAAGAGTTGACCCTCTGCATTGCCACCTCCATAAACTTGGTAGTGTCCCGTTGCGTTTGATTTACAGAAAAAAACGACCGGCTGAACTCAAGAATTTTTGTGAAGAATTGCATATTTTGAACGAAGAATTTCAAACAATGCTATTACAACCAACAATTCAACCGTTTTTAAAATTACCACATTTAACCATTGTTTTGCAATTATTGTTATAACATTTCATGCATGCAAAGAAATATATAACTTTTAACTTTGTTTCCCATTTGTGGGATATCATATTGTTATTATTTTGGCCAACAAAATGATTAGAGAAAAAAGTGCACAAATAAAAAATCATGGGAATTTTATAATATGTTTTTGTCATGAATTTTTATTACTTGATTTTAAAATGTTTTGTTTGCTATAAAAATAGTACACAATATATTTAAATCTTGAATTTCTCTACATGGTTTATTTTCATTCTGTGTAAATAATTCCCTCTTGGAGACAAAATTCTTATTTTTTGGTGTAATAAATTAGTATATCTATGTGGTGTTCCTTACATCAAATTTTTGTTCCTCTCAGGTAAAAGTTGTTACTTTCCAAAATTTGTTGCCAAACTTCATATTATATTACTCTGGAAAAAAGAGTAAGATATGAGCTCCATCACTTAAATAATAAAGGCATACTAACTAAGATAGTTTAGAACCGGACAAACCGACAGATAAAATTAAAACCAGAAAACTAAAGAATAAAAAAAATATACCCGAGTTTGCAGGAGGAGTGCAATTATCTAAGGTGAAAATCTTCGGTTGGCGTGATGGCGTGTTCTTCAGTGAAAATGGGGCTGGGGAAAACAGCAGAGGATCACCTTCATCAAAAGAGAACTTGACAGGAGTATGATTTCCCTCATTCCTTTGGGTTCCTCTTGTTCTGGTTGATGGTGTGTTTTTCACAAGGAATGCTTCAGAAGGTAAGGCGTTTGCTCCCTCTTGGTGACTCATCAATCCCTTAATTGCATCCCATTCCTTCTGATCATCAGCAAGCAACTGACTAACATCATTGTGGTTAATCAGTTCTTGAATTTCCAGGCTGGATTTATTTTGACTTTGCAGGTAGGCCATTTTCAGAAAGTTGTGCAGCTGAAGTTTCTCTGCAGCTATTCTTTCCATTGTGCGGTGATAGTGGTTCTTTTCCACCGTGCAATCAACGAGGTCCGGCTATTGAAAAAAAAATAATAATTTTATAAAATTTAATAGAAATAAGTTCTTGCCTGAGCCTCATACTCCAGGAGCCGGTGGAAGGTTTCAAATATCTGTTGGTATGGCTTACATAATGATTTCAGCCACTGCTCCAACTCTTTCTCTAAGCGATGTGCAAAACCTCTTTTCACTTCGAGCTCGCGACACGCCGTTTCCAACTCCTTAGTCAGGGAAGAACATTTGAGTGCTCGCTGTTCCTCTGCCTGAATTATCAACTTTTAATTTGAAAAATTAAATCAACTAATTCATTTGGTACCTTTTGGAGTCCTTCTGGCTCAATCAAATGTGGTGCAATAATTTTGAGCCTATCCAGCTTCATCTTCTTGTCGTCAAATCTGTCTTGCATTTCTTGTAGATGAAGTTCAATGTTCTTTTTCATGTCAATTGATTTTGCCTCCTCTTGTTTAGCTGCCACAAGAAGAGAAAGCTTTCTTGCGGTCTTCTGTAGACACACAAGGCTAATTCCATCAGATTTTGATTCCAGGGCTGAAATCTTCTCACGCAGATTTAGGTTCTCGGCAGTCAGGGAGGCAATTTCTTTTTTGGCTTCGTCCAAGTCACTGTTCAGTTTTCTGATAGCTACGGATGGCAAATTTCCGATGCTCTTGGATACCTTTAATTTTCAAAAGAGGATTTAATATAAATTTTAAAATTAGCTCCATATATTTTTTAAAAAACACTGCTGGAAAGCAAAAAAAATACCTGATTTATGATTGTCTTGGCACGGGTGGCGTATTTGAGAGTGTTATAGGTGTCTTCATACGAGAGAGTTGATGGTGAAACATTTGCAATCATAACAGTTTTGCAGTTGCCACCTAAAGTTCCTTTCAAAAGTCTGGTGAGCTTTGAATCTCTGTACGGAATGTGGCGCCGACCAAATGCAAGAGCACTGATACACTTGCCTGCAAATAAAATGGTCATATACATAAATTTCATAAATTCTATACAGGTGTTAAGTGTAATTTTCTTTGATAAAAACTAGCAATAATGCTGATGGTGTGACAAATTATTTACCAAGAGCAAGAAGAGATTTGTTGATTTTGGCTCCTTCCAGCAAACGCAAAGAGCTGTTGTTGTTGGCGGCTGCTCTCTCGGAACCCGCAAGGTCAATCATGTTGAGTTTGACAAAAGTTTTGCTGGTGACCTCTCCCTCCTCATTTTTCCTGATCAGTTTCAGTCTGACTTGGAAAACAGCATGGGACCGTGACGACTCAGCATTGGCGTCAGTCGGATGTTGCGTTCGACGAGAATTTCCGAGGCGTAATTTTTCCATCAGCTGCTCAGCATTTTCAGGTCTGAACCAAGACAAGCCTGAAACAACTATTTCTCTCCCGTCTTCTCTGAGGCATAGATCTTTCGATTTCTGATTCAGGAGATCTCTGACCTAAAATAAAAATAAAATTGTGTAGAAAAAATTACATGCAATACTTAACACAAAATATTGCTAGATTTTTTAAATACATTTTCATTGTAAATTTCTAAGTAAGAGCCATTGATGACAAATTCCAAGTTTTCAGTACTGTCAAGAGCTTTGTAGAGATCAGACATGAGCTGGAAGGTTATGCCTGGTTCATCTTGTTTGCCAAGCATGGTGAACGTCTTTCCAGAGCCAGTTGAACCATATGCGAACACTGGAATTTTTAATAAAATTGGTTTTAAACACACAATTTTTATTATATTATGAAAATTATTTCTTATTTGTATTTCCATTACCAGAACAGTTGAATCCATCAATCACATTGGAAACAATATCCTTAATTGCAGAATTGTACACATCTATATTACTGCAAATAGGGCCAAATATGTTTTCAAAGGAGAATTCCATGTTTTTCTTGACCTTGGCGTTGTCCCCAATGGGCCTTTGTAATGAATCTGGGTCTTCAAAAGCTGGAACTGGATCAAATATAAGCTTCCTTTCATCTACAACTTGAATGCAGAGTTCTCTGAAAAATTTTGAATTCAAAATTAAAAAATAAAAATAAAAATATTAAAAATACCCTGCTGTGTTCATCTCTCGCTCGAGCAGAGGTCGCACTCGAAGAACGACCTTGACAGGAGCACAGATTCCAGTTGAGCTATTTGTGGAAGTTGAGGCGTTCGAGCGATGGAGCCTTGATGCCCTTGATGTCATGATGCTTCGTCTGCGTGCTGGGCATGGGCACTTCCTCCGTGCAAACATTTTGTCACTTGCAATCAGGCCACCTAATTGAGACAGAATTTGAGATTAAAATGAAGTTTTGCTAAGAATAAAAATGCCCAGTATTGATAAAGATTCTTAAAAACAATAATCAGAGGTTACAACAATGGATTTTAGATTTTTACACTAAAATTTACGTGCCATATTGTTGGAAAATTTTAAGAAAAATATTTTGATTTTAAAATAAATTAATTGAACGCATTAACCATATTTATTTAAAACAAAAAATAAAATAAAAATAAATTGTGAAAATTATTTTAGAATGTGAATAATGTATAGTGTCACAGAATTTAAAAAAAAAAAATACAAATGCCAAGATTGCCACAGACGAATTCGTCTTTGTCTTATGGATCCATAGGAATTTGCGTTGGCCAGCCAAATAAATTCTATTCCATATAAACTCGTGTGCATAAACTAATTCCTGCTTGAAACGCGGCTGGGGTAAATTGGAAAACCTTTCGCATAATGCGTTCGAAGAGTGAATTGGCTGCCGCTATAGGGAGAAGCTGGCAATGACGCTTTCTATGATTTATTGCTCCCCATATTCACGGGCGGCGCCCCTATAAATTTCTGCATTCGATATCATATTAACTGATAAGAGGGCCATGTGGTGCCAACGGCGGCTCACCAGAGCGCTGGTTCAATTTGGATATTGGATCACTCGGGGGAGATTTTGGGGTGCATAAAAATTAGAAACAATTAATCTGCCATCCTTATCTTTCAGACTGATTTTTTCAACGATGGCCATAAATTCCAACAATAAATTAATGCGATGTGAATTTAATTAAAGATTTATAGCTTTAAAAAAGGATTTTAGAGAGATACATATATTTTCTTTTGAAACTCTTATAATCTTTTGTTAATAAAAATAAAAGAAGAAAAAGTGATCAAATTGATATATTTAATATGTAAAACAATTTACAAACTCACTAAACCATAACAATTAAAGTCATTTAGCTAATTATAGAATTTAGATGTCCAAAGTGAGACGCACGCGACACACCGATAATGAACCAATCAACCAATGGTATAATTGTAATTATATTTTAGAATTTCATTAAAATGAAATGACCTATGATACTGACCTTGGTGAGCCTTCGTATGAGTTACGAGTGCGACTGTTGCGGGTGCGAAGTGCAAGCTGCGACAAGTTGACAACGCCGACGTCTCCTAGACTCCTATTACAACCACAACTGGTCAACTGGTTTTGTGTTTTATAATTTATACTCAAGTGATGCACTCTCCAGTCTCCACCCCGACACTCCTCCCTTCCTTCTCACGTCAGTTCTCCCTGGGCCGACATGGTATTTCTCTTTCTCTCTTCTCATTCACATTCGTCTCATTCCCGACATTCCTGTGCGAGCAGCTTGTGCACTGTTGCCAGTTGCCACAGTTTTAGTTTAAAGAATTGTTTATTGGGTTAGAATGAGGCCTGAGGGCAGTGAGGGCGGTGTTAGTGGATCATCACGCTACGCATGTCGTGGTTTTTGTTTCGGTTCTACCTTTTCGATCATCAAAACATTGGTGAGAAATTGTTTTATGCAAGAAATACATAGCTTTAATCTGGTTTTAATCAATTAACGATCCTGTTTCTTGTGGTCTATTGAGGTGATCGATTCAAGAAATTTAATCAACCCAGAGTTTTGATGCTTTTTCCTATTTTTAAATCTATTTGGATTCCACAGGTTCCTTCCTTTGTTGCTGATCGTTGCGTCCTCAGACTCAGAGGCTCACCACATCAGAAAGGTACAGTCACAAAATATAATTTTAAATACTTATATTTTTTATGATCGAATATATTGACGAAAAATGGCAGTGTGTATGTTTAAAAACTCTCGTAATTCACCATTCACGGTGGATGGAAGGTGAAAAATCTCTTTGTTGCTAGTTATTTATATTTTAAAAATTTTTTAAGCCCAAATTTAAAAAAAATTTAATTTCCGGTTTTTCCTCATTGGGCTTTTCAATTCATAATTGAAAATTTAAAAAATTGATGAGACAAAAAAGGATATGATATGCCAGCTTTAAAAGAAAATTCACCAAATAAACCCTTGAAGGTGAAATTCTTTTGAAAAATCTAACAAGCTTTAATACATGATCGATAAGCTCCTGTGGTTAACAGACGGATCCGCACTAAATCCGTAAACGGATGAGAACATTCAAGCTGACTTAGCTGCGATTCCACCGACCTAAAAACACGCAAAACAACAGCAAACAATAGTTTGTCTCTCGAACGAAAGCAACTCGGGATAGGAAAGTTTGGGTCTAATTTCCTCTCCGGAGAGTGCAAGTGGCTTTTTTATTCCAATGATACGCCCCGAGAGGACCAAAATCGCCTTACTTACTTGGAGACATACACAAGTCTGCGAAAAGCGGAGCAGGGAAAGTCTCTGTGGAAAAGCCAGCTGGCCAGAGAGAAGCCGCGGCGGTCTCTCTGTTGGAACAAAAAGCGAGAAGTAAAAATGGAAAAATATGCATTTGTCTATCAGAGCTCTAGTTTCTCGCAGAAATACATTGCCTAACTGAAAAGCAAACGTAGAAGGACTTTCCGAAACGTGGCCCTCCTGCCCTTCGGAACACATTTTCTGTGCTGCTCTCTCGTGATGCTGTTGAATTTTACATGATCATCGACCCTGACCAACGGAAACATATTTTTCGAAGTCGACCAGGAGAAAGACGACACTGTTTATCGCCCCCTTGCAGCATCCAAATAACACAAACCACTTCAGTGTTTGCCAATTCATTTACTTATTCGCAGAATAAAAATATGTTTACAACATGTTGTAAACATATTTTTATTCTATTAATGTATTTATTTTTAGGGGACATTTTTTGTTAAAAACAAATTATATGTACTTAGTTAGAATTGAATTAAAAAAATGTTTTTCTAACGCAAAATGAAAATTAATGGATTAATTAATTTAATAGAAGTTAGTTGCTAATTTTTTTTTAATTATATTTAATAATTTTGAATTCAGTTTCAATTACCATTTTTGTACATGAAAAAAAAATATATTAATTTTGTCTCATAGGAGCTGAGATATTATCATTTCGTCTTACAAGAATAATTATAGCTTAGATAAATTATTGGTAGTGAAGCCTATTCTGCCTCCAGAGATGAGGCACATTAAAAGGGTGCACTAGCTGATATTATGTGTTTCTTGGGGGCGCTTGCACAGCAAATATTTGGCCAGCCAAGGTTGGGAGCTGTGCTCTCTACACCCAGTTAAAGCGAAATTGGATGACTCGATCCAGCGCGGCAGAACGGCGGGCAGATTTTGCACCGTGTTTTCCGTCGCTCTTGAGCCTGTCGGTTGGCTTTATATGGAGTCAATAACTGGTTTGCTGTCAAGTAAGGTGGTGCAAGAGGTGTTAAAGCGTCCTGTCAAAGGAAAAGGAATCACGCTTGTGGAATATTGAGATTGGTTGTAGACACGCGAGGGTATAATGTGACGCACAGCACACCCATTTGTATGCAGTTCAAGCAGACATACTTATCTCTTCGACTGCTAAAAATGAAACAAAAGAAAAGCGAAAAGGTTAAAATTAATGTTTTTTTTAATAAATTTTCAATTATTTTTAGCATTTTGGATCTTTCTAGCATATATATAGGTGGATTTTAAAAATCGTCAAACATTTAATTGAAAGAAGTTTTTCTGAAAATTTTTGCAATCAATCATGACAAAACAGTTTTCGATAAAAATTTATAAAAATGTTTAAACATATTTTCTATATTATATACGATATTGTATAAATAGAAGAACACAATCAGAAATATTTCATGATTAATTTATTTTATTCGCTGTAAATTTGTTACAAGTTCAACCCAATAATAGGAAAATCTTGCAATATTTTTGCGTTAAAATTATGGAAATCAATGCAAATCCAATCTGCTGCGGTGCTCAAAAGGAAGGTGTAGTTAAAAGTTCTTAATGCGGGATTTGAAAGGCATCTTCATTTTATAGTCTGGCAGGTGTGCTGGCAAAAAAGGGGTTTGCTTTTAGTCTGGCAGGTCCGAACGAGTCGATTCTCTTTCTCTCTCCGGAAAACCGGAAAGGACAGACTGCCAATATTTAATTAACAATCGATAGTTGAAACAACACGCCAGGCTTTTCTTTCATGCGGCGCAAAATACAGAGTGCGTTGCCTCTTTGTGCCCACCCTTTGAGCAAAAAAGATTTCCCCCATTATTTTGGTCCAATTTAAAACAAAGTGAGATATTCTGACCTCGCGTGTATAACGTGCGCTCAATTTCACAAGAGCAACCGTTGCTTTTTTACCATGAGTTTTAAAATCGTCCTAACGCTGCTGCCATCATGAGAGGATTTTGTGTTTTAAGCTTGGATGTTATCCTTCAGGCTTTGTCTCGTTACATTTTATTTAAGAGATACCGAGTGCTCTGCTCTCATTGCTCTAATTTTGGCAGTTAATCTTTGTTTGGTTCTACCATTTTAATCGATTCTCAAAAACTTATATATTATTTCTGAAAATTGAGAATATCAATTCAATAATCATTTATAGTGAAATAATTCTAGAGTTCTCTGCTCGTGTAGTTCACAAAGAGCTTAACAAGGCGCTTTGAAATTCATACCCAAGCCAGAGCGGAGAGGAAATTTAAGCTTGAACTCTGCCGTTCAATGCTCATGTACATGTTAAGTGAAAAGCGCAATTGAATGAAAGCATAAAATAACATTGCTGCATTTGATGCACGCGTTTTCTTCTAGCTGCAGCAGCTATCGGTGCTGTATGACTCGATCGTTATTATATTCCTCGTGCATGATTATTGACTGACTCGGTGCAATATAATACGACTTAGTAACTCGATACGTATAATATATGCACACAGCTGGAAAACTTAATGCCTTTAAGCTCTTGGGCTTTTAATGCTTTTTACAGCACGGTGCTAGTCCATAATATCAAAACATTTGGATTATACTTCTGCTTCGTTTATTGTACGTTTCATTTATCACGTTCTATTTGTTCTCTCTTGCACCATGCGCTGAAAAGAAAACTACGTGAAAATTGTTATAATTTTTGTGATTTCAAACACTTTCACACTTCAGATATTGGGGGTATGTTAAAAAATGATTTTATAGCTTGTAAATTTAAACCTTTGCAATTAGGTCTAATAGAAAATTCTAATGAGTTATAAATTAAAAAAATAAACAGTTTCTAACGTTTAATTGTATTTTCAGTTTGCTGAAAATTCATTCTAAAAATTTGTAATTTGCCATTTGTAATGCGGCTACTTTAAAAAAAAAAGATGAAACAACTGTCACAAAAGAAAAAAAATCTGTAATTGTGTTAAAATTGCTAAAAAAATCTTACTATTGTGCAATAAATTTAATTAAGAATTTAGTAATTTATTATAAAATTATATAAATACAAGTGATGCTCACCGCCCTCTCATGTTATCATTATTCCAAACACAACAGCTGAAGCGTACAGCAAATTACTCACGCAACAAGCAAGCCACCCCAAACCCAAAGAGAGTAATACCCAACCCTTGCGCTTATCACATTGAATAATGCAGCAGTGAACTCTCAAGTGATGCGTGCACTTGCGGCCCTTGCCACGTAATACTCTCCAATTATTATATGACACACACACTCGGTGTTAATAATCTTGCAACCTGGCGCACATGCATAATATTGTCCAGGCAGTGTATTACTGTCTATGCAACCCGCACTACATCGGCGACCAAAGGGGTAGTTTTATCCACAGGGACTCCGGTGACGTCCATGCCTTTAGTGCCTCGCAGTTGTGAACGCGTAGCCGCCGGCGGAATGCACCTGCAAATTATTGCACTCTCTTAATGGACTCCTCTCTAGTGTGCTGCTGGAAGTGGGTTAATCTGGCAAAGCACGTTTGTTATTTGAACTCGTAAGTGTAAATCTTCATAGGAGTGTAAAGATAATGCTAGATTAATTTCTCAGTGCTCTGCGGAGAATAACTTGACACGTTAATAGTTTAATTTTGACCTCAAAGTAAATTTAATCGAAGCACATAGTTTAAAATTTTAGCAAATAAAAAAGCTTTATTCAGAATTTTTTTTACTCTTAAAATTGTTTAGCAATTTTTTTTATACGTGTGGAGAATCGATTTAAAATAATAGATAACGATTAAAAAATAAATTAATTAAAAGCATCTCTAAAATTAAAATTTATTTTACCGCAACAAAATAACGATGCTTTTCTATGGTATTTATTCTGGCCTCTAGGTCTGCATCTTGTTGAGTGCCGGTGCATTACAGAACTGGTGCAGCGAACAATTATGAATTTATCATAGAGGCGAGGCTGTCTGTGCAATAAAGCACACACGCGAGAGCGAACGAGCTCTTTTTACATAATAATGAATATTAGTGCGCATTTGCTGTTGTTTATATTCCTGGTTATTCAAGCAGCATCATTTGTTAAAATTGATCCATATGAAGGGCGTGATGATGAAGTGCACCTGGATGTGCTTTTATTATAGAGATAGGGATTGTTTTATGAAACCGTACTTCGCTGGTAACAGCTGCTACATTCACTTTATTTAATGTGTATGAACTCGATGCTAAAATTGCTGAACTGCTAATTTGCAAATCCACAAATCTAAATTGACAAAAAAGTCATGCATACACCAGCAATATTAACATAGAGAACTTAAACGGCGTCTAGCAGTGGATATTGTGTTATTATTTATGTGGATTGCTTTGATCAATTAAATGAGTAGAAATCAGTGGAAGTTTAAATCAAACATTAAAC